GAACAGAGGAACAGTTCCTTCAGATAGCTGAATATTTTGTTAAAGTTAAGGACACACAATCTGCAGGGAAGTACTACTACAAAGCATCTAACTACTGGAAGGTTTAGTGTTTATCCCTTGCTTGTAGTAAGAACAAATTTTAGATTGGCTCATTATAAAAGATTACTTACCAGCATTCGTTAGTGGTGTTCTGCCCCCTCGCAAACCAAATCATTGTTCTTTTTCTATCTTTTTGGCCATTAGATATCAACTGCCACTCTTTTGTAAGCACTGATGCCAACTGCAAGAGAAATTCTTTTTTTTTAAATAAGAAATGAATGACTGATTTAATTTTGCAGGCCCTTGACAACTTTGAGCATAGCGGCGAAGATGCTGAAGCAATGAATATGGCCATTGACTGTGCAGTCAAATCAAAAGATATGGAATTGTCCCAGCGTTTAGTCGACTTTCTAATCGGAGATCTTGATGGAATACCAAAGGTAAACAAGAACAACTGCCCTGCTCAACAATTCTCCTCCTAAACCTTAAGAAAAATTAAAAATAAATGAATTTTATCTTTACTTTAATTCCTTGTCGGCTACCAGTACAAGTGCCCAATCTGTTGTCGGTAAATTAAACACTTTGGATGTCATTTTAAGGACCCGAAATATTTGTTTCGATACTACGTGGCAATGGATATGAAAAAGGAAGCTGCAACAACAGCTGTAGTAATTGCTTCAGACACCAAAAATAGAGGCAGTTACCGTCAAGCACATCAGTGCCTATTCAAGATGCACAAAGAACTAACCGAGAAGTGTATCCAGGTTCCTCTGGAAATGGCCGACAACCTTATGTTACTTCACAGCTATTTAATTGTTAAGGCAAGACTTTAATTTGATTACAGCAGGTTAAGATTAGAAAAAGGTAGATTTAAACCACAAACAGTCGCCATCGTGCGTTTTTTAGCAATCTTCATCTGGAAAAATAAAACGTAGAAGTAAATGGAAACCACTTTTCAGAGCCTAATAAAGCGGAATGAACATTCACGAGCTGCACGAATGCTAGCACGCGTAGCAAATAACATTAGCAAATTTCCAGAAAGTATTTTTTAACTTTTTTACGTTCACCTTAGAAAATTGTGCAAAACTCTAACACTAAAAGTCAGTGTCCATCCGCCACCTTTCATTTTACTTATTTATTCATTTATTTTCTTCCATTTGCCGTGCCATGAAAAGGCAATGAAACCGGAACATAATGTTTGCGCATTCTTCGTTTTATCTTTCTGTAACTGTCAATTCCTCAATAACTTTTAACTGCCAGATGACCCACAAAGAATACAGCAACAAGACAATGCAACAATAACCTGATTTTCAATAAAAAACTGCTGCAAAAAGGAGGTCATAATTTATGCTTGACATCGTATAATTATAGACGAAATACCAATTTTGACTGCTGCAACGATCGAATGCACAAAGGCTGGACTAATGAAATCAGCATTTCAGTTTGCGGCTCAAATAATAAAACCTGATAAACGGTGTAAAATCGACATAAAATACCAGAAAAAAATTGAAACAATTGTGAGGTAATTTTTGGAAACTTTTCCCTCACCTTTTTTTAACAAAAAAAGTCATTTATCTTACAATACAACCATTACCAGTTATTTATCAAACTATTTTTAGAAAAATTGATAAGAAAGCAAAAGATGAAGAAGAATTAAAAACTGAATGTCCATACTGCGGTGGATTGACACCTGAAACAGAGTTGGTTTGTGACCACTGCAAAAGTCTAATCCCGTATTGTGTCGTCACGGTAAAAATTTAATTCCGCTTTTCTTTGAAAGACTATCAGGAAAATGAAAGAAGAAAAAATAGTCATAAAACACTCATGCAATAGAACGTAAAAGTCTACGGCTGCCATGTTAAGCAATACCGACAGAAGCATTTGAACAATAATTTATTTGTGATCATAAAAATTTAAAAAGTTAGGCAATGAACAGAAAAATATAACAATAATGCGTAAAACTCCAGGGTCGTCACGTTATAAAAAACGATTTTGCGTTGTGCCCATCTTGCCAATTCCCCGGTTACTACAGCGAATTTAAAAAGTAAAAGTTTCAAATAAATAAACACTAATTACAGCAATATTCAATAAGTTCTAATATAAAACAGATACAAAAAATTTTTAGGCTTAAAGATTCTGGAGAGAACTGCCCTATGTGTTCAGGAAGGCTCGACGAACTGACCTCCTCAAATGGCGGAGAATTCTTCCAAAAAAGCAAAAAGACAAGGTTCACGGAATAAGATGCACTGTTACGGAATGGTCAGAAGAAAGCACAGTAATGATGAATCACTTAATATTTAACCGTTTGGAAAAATAAAGAATGAAATTTCAAGAATTTGAAAACACTAAGATTCATATCGTAAAACACTGAACAGCTCTTGCCAAATCAACACACCAGTATTTTATGACGGTCTACCAAGACCTTACACTCGACTAATCTGCATCTTCGAGAAAGAAAGCTTTCAGCAAAATCCCATTGGTCAACTGATCTTCCATCAGACGCTTACCCTAAAAACGGCCTTAACATGTATTTGCGCTACCAAAGCAGCATAAAATCAGTTGCATGGATCAGAACATAAACAACTAACCTTGACACTAAGATCCAGAAGTGTCGGAACACAAGTTAATTTAAAAGTTTCATCTGTTCTGAATGGGTTTCTCTGATTCTTCCAACTGTAACAGACATCAGGCAGTTTAAGCAATCGAAAATTAAATAAACGTGGTGAAAAATAAAAAATCTTTTATTCCAATTATCGTTTTCTTTCAGTTCTATTCTTAAAATACTTAAAAAATAATCTTACTAGGGCCGGTCGCCGACGCTACAAGTTATATAAAGTGTGTCATGTTCATCTGCAAACGTGCTCTGGCTGATCTCTCGAACGCATCTTTCCACTAAAGGTTCTGCTGAAACAGTCAATCCCTGCTTAATTTCTTTTTCGTGAACGTTCAATTACTCTAGCAACAACGGCAAACTTCATTATAAAAAACCCCAAGCAATGCTCACCTAAGTATAGAAAAAACGATTACATATATCATCTCTCCACTGCTGAACTTTCACCCACCAAAAAATGGGACTTATCAACAGCCAATAAACAAATCACCACACCCAACGAACAACTCGAATTCCTTTCAAAACCTGATACTCAAATAGGAACCAACCAACAGAAAATAACTTGCCTGTTTCACAATCAGGGCACCAACTTTTACCACTCTGTGGATCCACTGACCCGACAAATAATATAATCGTACGCATCGACTTCCCATTTAGGGCTTCTTTTAATGCATCATACCCGTGAACCTCCACCTTCTCAAACATTTCCGAAAGCAAAAATATAACAAAAAAATTGTTCTCCTGCAAGAGATACGTCTGTGTACCCTCAAGTCACATCTTACAATTAACATGATTATTATAATCACGCTGCATCTCGCTGACACTTTATACCAGCAAAATTTTGTGAAAATTATACTGCTTAATTCATTAAGTCCAATAAAACCGAGTTCTAGACATTAAACCTGAAACAAGTTGCCGCCTTCAGCAAATAAAAGTTTGTTACCTCCTCAAAAATTCATTAAACAAACAATAACGCTTAAAAGTAGAAAAAGAGAACTATACTGCTCCAATAACTTTTAACTTCGCTCAAAATGTTGAACTTTAAAGCTGAAGGTACGGCTTATATAATTGCAGGAAAGAAAACAACGACGCGCAGAAGCGTGAACACAATATCCCAAAGCCCACCGAGTGTTTACAGATTGTTGAATCATAAACGAGCAGAGCGCAATAAGCCAACGCGTATAAACTTATCGAAACCTCAGATCGACAGTAACAAAAACCACAAAAAAGTATTTAACAACAAACGGTGATAAAAAAAAGAAATATCAGCCGCATATTACTCTTGTAATACCTTTAGAGAAACAAATAACAGAATATTGTCCAACACTCGTAACAAAGTCTCTAACGCAACAAAACTAGCGACAAACCGTTGAAAAGCGAAGCGATTCATTTCAATGCTACAACAAATGACATCATAGCAGCTAGTCTCTCAAATAATGTTTGAAATTTCAAAAAGTAAATTTGAAAAAAAATTGACCTAATCAATTTGCTTTAAACAGAAGAACCTTCAAAAAGCGTCAGTTTAAGAGTAAAAATCCAGTAACCGGCTTTTAGTACATAAAGAACATAAGTACAAGGCGTTAAAAATAACTATTAACAACTACGGCAAGTAGTATCGTAATGACTCGGTTTCATTCAATGACTGGTTAAAACTTTCCAAAAGTTTTATGAATATTCACTTCCGCCAAACAACGTGTACTTGGTCTGTTCTATATCTTTGCGTAGTGGTACACTGCTCTAGATGAGCTACAATATTAGAAGTAGCCATGTGAGATGCAGCTTGAGCGATCATTGCCCCATTATCAATGCAAAAACGCTCGTCGGTCGCAAACAGTTTAGCGCCTCTAGAAAGTTAAGTTTATTTACAAAACTACGAAATAATAGGAGTACGGAGCAGTTCAACCCTTTAGCACGACTACGTAGCAGCACTGCGCATCGTACACATTTACCTGTCGGCACCCATACTCTCCATCATTGCTTGCAGTCTTTTATTGCAACCGACACCTCCAACAATAAGAATCTCTTTACTGTCGCAATGAGCCAACGCACGTTCTGTGACTTCAACTAACATAGCAAAAACAGTTTCCTGAAAATAATTATTTTGAATTCAAAGAAAGGGGGAATAACGTTTGGTTATGAACCGTTTTTCCAAGCGCCCCTCTCACGTCAAATGCAAACAAGATATGTGAAGTAATTACGGTTCTTAATAAGAGAACAAATTAAAGCAGGTCAGAACTGAAAAATAAACCTGTAATGAAAAACAAAGGTCTGCCGCAGTGCATTCACCATTTTTCATCATCTCCTGACCTTTCGTACATATAAAAGACAAAATACCGGAAAATGATACATCCATACCTTTAACAGCATAAGGAAGAGAAATAAATTTCTTCCCTTTTAATGCTAACTGTTCTAGGTTGTAGGCAGGAAATGGATCATTAGGCAGTTTCAAAACACGAGCAAATCTGCAAAATTCTCAACGCTTCAGATTTACCAAATCAAAATTAACGAAATGAAAGAAATTTCCTAGACAAAAGAAATAAGTTCTCAGGTAAAAGTTACCTGTCAAGGCAATTGCCAACCGCAATATCCAGAGTTTCTCCAAATATACGGTACCGCTGATTAGAGTATGCAATGACCTCAAATTTTTTGAGCAGAATACATTAAAAAACCGTAATATTATAAAAAGCGAACAGAACAAAAACTCATAAAATTTAAACCATTACTTGTGTATTTCCCCCGCTAACATACAAGACTACTGGATTTACAGCCCCAGTAATCAATCGTCCCATCTCGATATGTCCAACACAGTGGTTAACAGGATAAATTGGTTTCTTCCACATTTGCGCTAACATTCTAGCAACAACTGCACCAACCTGTAGAGGCGCACCCATTCCAGGCCCCTTAACAAAGGCAACACCATCAATTTCACTCTCAGGATCCTGCAAAATACAAGCTAAGTGATAATTGACAACAATCTTCTTTACAAAAAAAGTACCATGCAAAATGAAAATAAAAAAAGCCGAGACAGCGGCATGAATAACATATCACGGTTGAACAGTGCATTTAAAAACACCACAGAAAGTAAAAGTTTTGGACAATTCGTTGCAAGAAGTGGCAGAAGACGTATAACTGTAAACTGTTCGAAACAACAAAAAGTATCATTTCTTAGACAAAACAGCACGCACAAAACTAAACCTTTGAAAAACTCAAAGGGAAAGACCACCTTAATTTGTGCCTCTCGAAGTGCTTTGATTACAATTGACACAACATTTTGACGATGATGAATTGCAGTTTCAGTTGGTCGAAACCCCTCACCAGGTGGAGCATGAAAAGTTGCACGGGGATTCGCTAGAACCTAAAACATTTAACTTTTACTTTTAGAAGAAAAAGTGAAACCAAAAATTATTTACCAAACAAACCTCTCCGTCTCGAACAATACCGACTCCAATCTTATTCGCGCTCCCTTCAATACCAAGTATACAAACCATTCCTACAATTAACGGAAACGGTTTTTACGAAGAAGTTCCTCTGCAATCTAAAGAACAACTTGACAGTTAACAAGTCAGAGGAAAAAATGTTTAAATCATAACATCCACAATCCTCTAAAATTTCAAAAAAACCTATGCTTCTAACACCTCAATTCTGACAGTTAAACAGAAAAAAACCACCAGGTGGCTAACTTATATTACCATGACCATGTTTTTAATAAACCTAGAAAAAAATGTCTACGAGAGACTGATAAAACAGTTCAAAACTACAAATTCCGCTAGAAAAATACTTGCCTTGACCAACTTCCGCTGCTTTTCTCCTTCAGCGTCAATATTTCTTAAAAATTCCTGACGTACCCGCCTGCAGAAAAACTCTTTATCGGTAAACACTAAGCGTTGCCCGTATCGTATGAGGCGTTTATATACTGAGAGAACTTCTACCCGAAGCATGCAACCTCAGGTGTACCTTAGAAAAACACCAGCACATTCAAACAATGATGGATTAAATGTAGTTCTAACGCTCGACTAACAGAGCCGCTATTTCAACATACTTTTTCTACTACAAAATTTCCATATACTCTAGAAAGCACCTACTACAAGCTCCGACCATTAAAGATTGAAGGCAACAGCGACAGATCAAAGTTTTGCTACCAAGACAACACCCCCCGCTTTCACAACGAATCAACAAAAAGGGAAACAGGTTCCTTAATGTTGCAAACGTACCAGAAAAATAATTCGCTCAAAAATATTTTAACGAGATTCTTTCAGCATTAAAATCCAATGAGCTTCACGAGAAAAACTGCTTCAGTCAATATACTTTAATCTTTATATTTCACTCATAATACAGGATAAAACTGTCAAAAAGAAACGAAAATAAAAGGTAATACATGTCTTTTCACCCCAGTACTTGAAAAAACTGGCTATTGGAAATCAGAAAGCTTGAAATATAAATGCAGAAAATTACCATCGATCAGCTAACTAGCTATTCATTTACAAGCGTCGACAAATACAGTAACTACCCAGAACAGAAAAAAAACGCGTACACTAATTTTCAGAACCGTCACACAAACGAAGGCAAACGAAAAAAAATATAATATGCAAGTCGCGCTAACCGGACAGAAACTGAATCAGTGGAACAAAACATACAAACAAAAGTTAAGAAAATCTAAACCACGGTAAGTTAATTATATGTTCAAATAAAGGCACATTTTTTTACCTATTCACTTGGACCCCGTTGTCGCAAATGTTTTCAAAGTAAAGAACTCTAGCCTTATTTTCTAGGCAAAACTTATGATGAATCAAAAACATTTTTAGCAAGCGTCACAATCCTTTAAGACGAACGGTGCCCAATCCAATCATTTCTGAAAACAGTTTTGATTTCCAAATGTTAAAACATAGAACAAGATCACAAAGACTACGCAAATAAATACAAATATAAAGAAGTGAAGCCTGAAAAAACTTTGCAAAGTGGAAAGTTTCATAAAATAATTAAAGTTTTATAATGTAACAGTAACAACTGCATTTCATGCTTTATAGTAATAGCGATATAATTGTTCTCCATGCTTTGCAAAGCTATACATAACTTCCGACAAATATGCTGCGACAGACACAGCAAACAAAAATATTAGAACTCCTTCCTCAATGTAATCCACTGACATCGGCTGCTCACTACAGGGGTCCCAGTATTTGACTAGTTTTTAACGTAAAATAGTACAGGAAGCGTAAGAAAAGTAATGCAGAGATAACATAAACCACAACCCACAAAATGTACAGTATCGGACTGCTCGAAGCAACGTGTAAGGTCCCAAGCTGCAAACATAAACCTTCAAGCAAAATTCAAAGAAAAAACTTATATTCAAAATCTCTTGAAAAAAGTAGCAACAACTCTCAAATAGATCATAACTAACCGTAAGTCCAATCCCAAAAAGCAAAGACACAATAGATAAGATAACGAAAACAGTCGCACGTGAACGCGCAAAGCGAGCTCCAACTGATGAGCTGAAAAAACATCGTTCAATGTTGCCATATGCAACAAAAAGTATTTTTGAACTGAAATAATATTTCAAATTCTTTGTTTTTTTCTTCTCCGTAAAGACCAATAATTCAAACATATTTCAAAACCCACAGCTTCTTGCAATGTGGACACTTTGCTGCAGTATTGTTGAGAGTATTAAACATAAATACTTCTTGACAATGAGCGCATGAAACACGGCAGGTTCCAGCAGGGGCACTGCAAAACTCATTTCTGATTCAATCAACTCTATCAAAAAAAGTTTAAAAATTATACGTCTCACGAATCAAAAAACGCCATACCACACTTCCTTTTTTTGGCCTTAATTTACTCAAGACGAAATTCCCGGCCGAACAACCAACTAGGTAAACTAATTCACTTACATTTCTCATTCTTCATATTCTCCTCCCTTTCCCTTTCACTGAACCAGATGGTGAGTGGAAGACAGGAAAATCTGTATTAATTAGTCTCTGTTATCGATGACTTTTTGTGGAAAATAAACTAATGAAAAATAGCAAAGTGATATCAAGAAAAAAATGCACCAAACTGTAGTTTTTACACTTTGACAATGAAAAAATGATTAACTTCAAAGAATCTCACTCAAGTGCTGATTTGTCTCAGTGAAACAGCTAGAAGACTCTCAATCACGCCCTCCCTGTAAGATATTATACTTCTTGAACAGAACTAAAACTTTAAAAAAAAGACAAAAACAAAAAGTAAATAATTGAACCAATAAAAAAGTTTCTAAACAAAAGAAGTACAAAAGCGGCTAGAGAAGTGACTGCTAAGGGTGTAGTTCTGAAAACTTTCAACTTCCAGAAGTTAAATAATACAGCTAACTTAATCTGAAACAGAACTTATAAATGCGGTTACTGGACTAACCGAACAGCTGTCCCGATTGGGCTGCTACCAAGCGTAATCACGCGCTTGCAGTTTGCTCGAGGGCACGCAATACGGTTGGATGAAGCTTTGCACAAAAGGAGACAATTACACGGACAACGCACATATTTCTTTCCTGGCGGAGCAGCTTTAATTGGCGTTGCTTCATTACACTGCTCACATTTCACAACGTGTTGTCGGGTCTTAAAAGTAGCTTGAAATAAAATAACCAAAAATCTTTTTTAAAAAAACCTTCAAGTACTACAGTGTACTTGATAACAAAGCCGTAATTGTCAAAAATTAAACTCATTGAAGCTCACAAGAGAGAAGCCAATTATTAAGAAAAAAATGTCGCGCACAAGAAAAATTTTAATCCAAAATAAGATCATAACAGATGACTCTATTAAGCAAAACTGCATAATTAAGAGGAAACTAAGTGGAACTATTTTTTAGCTCTTCTAAAAAGAAATAAAAAATGAGACTGACGATTGCAAAAGACACTGAAGAGCTATAAGCCCATCTGTCATAATAAACTTTACAAAAATGAACTTTAAGAAAAGTGCAGAAAAGCTCCCTTATCAATGTCTTGTCTTGTAAAATAAACTCCCTTTATCACTTTGCATGGAAAGCAAAAAAAGTTATGTTTGTCATCAAAACATACAATTCAATTTCAAAGTTTTGTAGCAGGCCACAAACGAAAAAGTAAGTACTAATAAGCTGGAAAGGAGCAAACTTACCTTTCCATCAATAGGAATAATCGCTTGGCAAACTCTGCATGTTACAGTTGGACCTGCACTTTTCGTAACTTCTGCACTATTTTCTCCATGACTTTCAACCCCACCAAGTTGATGCTCCCCGGCATTTCCATGTTCTTCTGAGTCGTCGTCAACACCTTCATAATTCGGTGTTGGAGCTTCACTGCTAAGAAGTGGGACATTTTCTGCAGTAGTTGAGTCTGGTTCCAACATTTCAGCAGCACATCAACAGTAATCCCAAAATGAAAAAGGAAGAATTCTCTTCTGTGGTAATCAGAACACTATGTTCAAAGATAAAAAGTAGCTTCGATTTCTGAAAATGAAAAAAAAGATTAACAGACTAATTTGCAGATGCTAAATAAAAATGTCGTACAATTATGTACTAGTTCACGCATACAACAAATTATAGGAATCACCTCATGGAAATGCGCAAAAATTCAATCGATAAAACAACAACTGTGTAAACAAGGATTAATATTTAAAGCAGTTTTCTGTAAAATATTGATGCTCACAAACAGTTTGAGCAAAAACAAAGAGAAAAAAATTTTGCTCTTTTAAATGTTAAGTCCTATTTCTAGCAAAAAAATGTACTTTCTTCCCGGTTAAAATATACGATGTTCTATACAACTGTCATGTAAATTTTAAAGCCAAAAAAAAAATTTTTTT